AATTAGTCTGAATTCTTTGAACACTTTTTTTTCCAATTTTTCATCTTTATGCCGATATTCCCGTCTGCTGATATTGGTAATTCAATATCTCCTCTAGTTGAAACATACCTTGTTCCAAATACTTCCACCTGTGCTTGCCTTCACCTCCTGTTTTACGGCAACAAGATGGGCGATCTTCCTGGAATTTAAATGAAAAGTGAAATTCCTAATTAGGGAGGCCTCACATATCGATTTTGTCCACGAGAAACGTCATATGTTCATTTGGGGGTGGGGGACCAGATTGTTGATTTATATAAAGGCCTTATTAAAAACTTAAAGCCCGTCAAAAGATTATAAAATTAGCCCTTGGCACAGGGCATTTTTTAAGAAATTGCAACTACTACGGCCTAGTCTCAATGAGGGCCTTTTTCCCGCAGTTACGCCTGTGCTCAGGGACGGAACTAGCCCTATTTGAATGAATGGGGGGCGGGGGGTTTAAGTGAAATTTTGCCGACCCTTTTCAAACGCTAATTCATATTTCTTTTCCCAACATTGTTGGCGAGTGGGGGAAGGAGGGGAGGGGGAAGGAGGGGAGGGGGAAGGAGGGGAGGGGGAAGGAGGGGAGAGGGAAGGAGGGGAGGGAAGGAGGGGGAAGGAGGGGAGGGGGAAGGAGCGTTTCACCGCTCTACATTAACTTGTTATATAAGAACAAATTAAATTACAATTTTCAAATTTTCAATTAGTTTTGCTGTTTTGTTTTAAAATGAGTGTGTTTGTTTTTACGGGAAAATAACGGACCGCTGAAAGTGCTTCTCAGCCAATCACAGTCCGTCATTTCACCGGAAGTGATGCTTGCCATATAATAATAGTTTTTATAATATAAGTGGGATATACAGTAACAGACAATTTGATTGGCTAATGCGCGTGCATTATGACGCAATAATGCACTGTGTTCCGTGGCAGTGCCTTGCTCTTTCTGTGTTTTTCCACCTCTTCATCTCTCTGCTTTTTAGCCAAAGATATAAACAAAACTATGGAGCTTTTAAAATACAAAATGTATCAGAAAGCAGGAAGGAACAGACCAATGGAACAAAGTAATATTATCTATAGCTGTATGTGTAAAAACAGTATAAAAACTAACCGGCTTGCCGGCTTGGCCTTCGTCGAATTTGTTTTCGTTTCGAAAAGAAAAAAGCGTGCAAAACAGTCGAGAAAAAACTTGAAAAAGATATACATGCAGGGGGTTGCCAAAAAAAGGAGAGCCCTCCTTACCGAAACTAAAATAGACAAATAAATATCATAATTCATATTTTTTATTAGATAATGACAAGAAAAACACGCTGACTTGATCGAACATCCTTAACACTATAAGCACACAAAAACGTAATAGGCAATAGGATATTCGCGGCTGTTGATAATTTTTCGACAGCACCTTGGCATACTCGTGCAAGCCGGTGCAAAGCACATCAACGTTTACAAGAAAGGGCAAATCTAATGCCGTATTTTAAAAAATTACAATAAACGTTTGTTATAAAACCGCGCTCGAGTGTGAGAGCATTGAATAACAACATGAGAGAGCACTGCGAGTAACGATTTGCTCGGTTTCTTGACTTGACTGCATGTTGGTAAAAATATAAGAATGTTCTTGCAAATTCAAAGCAAAGAAAATAAACAAAAATTAGCGGGTATTTTTAACTTAAAAATTCGCCTTTATGTTTTTAACTGTTAATTCTCAGATTACATGTCGCCTTTCCCAAGATGTCTATTTATAGGAATGCGATGGTAGCGCTAAACGACACAGAAGCATCGGAAATAAAACTTTATAGAAATCAATCTTCAAAACTTATACACAACCAAGAATAGAAATCTTACGAAAATGAAGAGCTTGATAACTTACCCTCCCCTGCCTATCACAGGAATAATTTGCAAGTTTTGCTTAAATGTTTCACCATTCTTTTTTTGACTGGTATAGTCTTTCCATTCCTAAAAATTAAACAATACATATCAGTATTTTTGCAGAAGTGAACATAACAAATCCTACAAGTTGATTGGTCAAATTTGACGTACTAAGCTGTTATATTCACCTCGCACAGATGAATATAAAAAACCCCGAAGTTTTCAAAATGGCGGCTAGCCGTTTTCTGGAAGTTACTGATAAAGAAATAAGCAAAATTAAAATAAACTCAGTCCCAAAAACACAAAAGACTTGTGTAAACATACTAAAACAATTATTCGCCTCAGGCTCGGTGATTATCAGGGAATATTCACCTCGACTTCGTCTCGGCGAATATTCCCCGATAATCACCTCGCCTTCGGCGAAGAATTGTTAAATGTATGCAATATATCACTAAAGTAGAAGGTATCCAAAATATGTTTTGTAGTACTATTATGTAATACTATATGGTAGTTTTCATACTGGATTTAATAATGTCCTTATTTTTTTAAAAGAACTCATGATTTGTGATCATTTCTGATAACAGCTAACAGCTAGTCATATATGAACGCAATAGCAGACCAAATATGGAATTTTGACATAATATTCAATGGAGTGACCTCGCGTGACCTTGACATGCAAAAATAGCAAAATAATATTAAACGCTATACATGCCGTCATGCCAATGACGATTGCCGAAGTAGTGAGAAATTGTGAATATGTAAATATATCCTACAACCCACCACTGTTTCATCTTTAATTAAACAAATATGGTTTGAACTCATTAGGATTATCTATCAAATCTTTTTCAACATAATTAATTAATAATTGGCTTTGTTCCATTTTTACGTAAAATACTAATTTGCCATTGCACATTTGGCACATTTATAAATATTGGTATTGATATTTATTGGATACTTATATATGATATACCATTTGCAGTTAATAAATTTGCCATCTTTCGGATTTCGAAACACAATTGCTATGCAGTCAAAAGCATGAGGTCTGCTAAATTTTCGGCTGCACAGTTTGAAATTAAAATGGACATCACTAGTCAGTCAAAGTACATGTAAAATACTGGATGGTGAAACGAAATCTGTTGTAGAAAATCGTCATTTGCCAGAGAACACCGTTATTTCAGCAGTTGCATTGTCTCTGTCGTTAATTTCTAGGTTTCATTGAGACATTGACTTCTTTTCTTTTAAATATGTTGGCTGTCTTTGTTTCACACAAATATGGAGATCTGACTAGTACCAAGTTTACGCAAATTTATTCAAAAAATCGCATGATGTTACATAAAATCCCAGCTGGTTACAACGTACCTTCATTTTGCCTTTTTCAAGTTGCGAATAGATCTGTTCATCAAGGCCCTGTTATTATACATAAAACAGTTATAGCTGAAAAATAAATCATGACGAATCTTTGCCACCATAACGGAAATGGTAGCAAGTGGCAATGGAGAAACTTAGTGAAGTGCACATGTATAACCACCATTTTTTGCCAAAAATTGGCTGTAAGAGAACGATTCGAATGATAGCATTCCCGGAATGGCATATGAAGAATTAGCTTTTAGAGATAAGAAAATGTTCACTTTGATTCCTTGCATGAAACATAGTTAGTATAAATTATATAATTGATGAACAACAGTTACGTAAGCTGAATGTTGTAAAGCTCCAGGCAGGACTGGAGAAAATAATTCCAGGAAGCACAACCTTAGTAGGCAAACCCAGACATCATCAATCTCCTCTAAACACAACCTGAACATAAAAAATTCCTGCAGACCATGCAACTGAACGTTGTGCATCTTTAACCTACCAAATTTACGGCAACTTTTAAACATTTCCTTAAGTGGTGCTCATGCGTTGGACTATATATTTTTCATATATTTGAGGACGGTGTCCCAGGAATTTCGCCCCCCCCCCCCCCCCCCCCCCCTACAATTTCGCCATCCAGGAGGCGAAATTCCTAGTAATATCGCCCTCGCGGGGGGCAAATTTCCTAGGAAATTCGCCCCTCTTTTAGCCCGCGTGCAGGCCCAAGGGAGCAGGCTGAAGGGAACTTGATAGTGTATTTTGTAAAACGCCCCTTTTCATAACACGCCCCATTCGCGCGTCAATTGTCAAAAAAGAACCAATGACAGCAACCCAAATATTAACAAACAAACTCGCATTAAAATGTTGCGGGGTTTTCTCTGCTTTAATATTCAAAATAGAAACAATGTGTAAATGCCTGTGTTAAAACTCAAAAAAAACAAGCAACACAGTCAGTAATTGCCAAATTTACAAGTGCTCATTTTCAACTAAAATCGGAACAGGCAAATTAAGACGAATTTCAACAGAAAACCAGTCTCAAACTTCAAATCGTGAGGGAAGTCGTGCGACCACATCAGCATTTATAATGTTGCTTCGCTGTCGCCATTGTTTAAATATAAATAAATTGTCTCACTTATCAGATCGTGTGTGCAATTCTTGTTGGCGGCGGAAAGTACGAAATTTATTTCAGTTATTTCATTTGGTGAGAACTCTACAAAAGAAGAGAGCGTTCAGAGTCCAGATCGTTTCGTTTCAAACGGCAATTTAATACCGTCTTCTCTTTTGCTCTCTCAGCGAAGCTTTGTAAATCGCAAAGTATTTTGAATAGGCTTACATGCAACTGCATCTCAACATCAACCAAAAGATCATTTTCTTGAGGAACATATAACGTATCAAGTCTGTTTGAAATTAATGAAACTCAAGTAAAGGTTACTATAGTTTACCCCAGTCGTATTAAATGTTGCTATTCCAACACCTCACGACAAGCAATCCTCATTGGCATAACGGCAAAAAATCTCTTCCTTCAAGTAAACAATAAACAGTCTGTTCTTGTTCCATTTGTAATCGAAAAAAGTGATCAATTTTCGAATTTTTAAGCTTATCGAGAGCCTTTGTCTATGCCTTTGTGATGAATCACTGACCTAATTATAGAATCCAACAGCAAACAGCCAATCAGAATGCCGCGTTCGTGGGCGAACGCGGAAAGTACAAAATACCGGGCCTTGCTTGCAGGCCCACTATCAAGTTCCCTTCAGCCTGCTCCCTTGGGCCTGCACGCGGGCTACCCCTCTTTAGAAACTTCACCTTTCCTTTAGGATTTTCTTCCTTCGTTAAAATTTTCGCCCTTACTAACAGTCGCATGGGATAATTATTACATGGCTTTAGTTATTTGAAATCAGTACCAATTCAAAATTCTTAAGACAGCTTGAAATAACAGCCGATCACCGATCGGCAAGAAATTGCTTATCGGCGGAAAAGCAGGGTTTCCAACCTGAAAAAAGCAGGGAAAGTTATGACTGCCGATCACCATGATCGGGAACTTTGGGAACGTTATTTCAAGCCGTAAGAATACAAATTTATAATTACATGTATCGACTCACACTCAATGAGTGGAGGTTCAATCTGGGCTTCTCTTGAGTATAAATGCTGTTTTTGAATAGCTGGAGGGCGAGTAGTCACATAGTAAGGTATGACACTAGCCCTCCAGCTATTCAAAAACAGCAATGACACTCGAGAGAAGCTCAGATTGAACTTCCACTCATTAAGTGTGAGTGAGCTTTTAGAATACGGGCGTTACAGTAGATCAATAGAACTTATGACGCTTCACAGTACACCTTGCATATTTTGCATTTTCAGTGTGAATCCTTAAACTCATTGTTAAAAAGTAATCACCGTGGTGGTTATTGTAATTTAATATTGGTATTGTCAAAACTTGTTTTTTTTAAATGACACATGCATAAACTATATGGGTTTTTTATATTTCATTATAAAGAGCAGTATTCACAAAATTATTCATTGACATTGATTAAGAATAATTGCATTGGTTAGGTAATTCTTATGCTGATAGATCGCGTTTATGGTATTTAGTACTATACCACTACATCAGCTAAGGCTAAGCTATAAATTTACTATCGTGTTTATAGAAGAAATACGTTTAGTTTCATTGTTATTATTAACAGTACGTAGTCATGCAGCAACACATTTGCCAAATTTTAACTTGGCTGCCTTCGCCTCAGCGTTTTATTTTCCTATGGCTATGTTGTAAACACTGAAACACATTACCAGTTTACCACTGTATTGACAAACACGATGGAATTGATCGAATTTCAAAATATAAAATAGACGGTCTTAGTATAACATGTCATACCCATTCAAAGCCCAGAAACATTTCGTCCTATGAAATTGAGCATTATTCAATGTATTAATTAGCCTAATAAATCGACAAAAATTTAGACAAAAAAATTAAAATTTATATAGGGGGCGAATTTCCTAAAGGAAAATACTTACCGAACCAGAATCTTTACAATTACTTGGATACGGTCCAAGTCTAGTTGTTCTCCCAATAACATCCTTTCTCGAATAACCAGTTAGTTTTTCAAATGCAAGATTTGCATACTAAAAAAAAAACAATTCAAAGTTATCACACATGAATCTGAATGTGCAAAAGCTCACTTTACATTTGCAATGCTCACTTACATTTACATTTTACGAATTCTATCAATCAAACGATCCCATGAGGAGTTTCTTGGAGAGGGAATAAGTTTAGGTATTTCATGAAGTTAACTTTTAAAAGTGTCCATAACTCAATGAAGACGCAGCTAGGGTTATCACTTGGCATGAACATGCACTTAAATTTCAATTTCAATTCAATTTATTTACCACTTCATTCAGTTAATTTACATTGATTATTATAATAATAAAATTTAGGTCTATTTATATTTACGTACGTCGAATTGAAAGGAAAGGAAAGTAACTGCATGGCGAGAAGACCTCAAGAAGTCAAAGACTTGTATTAAGAGGCCATCTCATTGTTATTCATAACAAAAATTAAGGCAAACATTTTTTTGTTTGATTTGTTGTTTATAAATGAAGCTCCTATTGACATGTACAATGTACTAATTGTTTTCAACCAGATATTTTTGTAATTTTCGTTTGAAAGAAGTGATATTTTTTCCTTTTTGATGCAGCAAGACAATTCCATATTTTCGGACCCTGATGTAGGATAGTGATTTGTTTTATGTTATAGTTCGACATGCATGAGATGTAGAAATGCTATTGATACGAAATTCTATTGACAGGATTGGATATTTCATGGAGTTGAAAGCGCTTGAGAACTGAAAAGCATGCTGCCTGAAAAATAGCCTGTTCGCAGACGTTGTATTTCTTATGCCAAGCGACGAAAAGCCTAACGTCTGCTGACCCGAGCTGCACATTCCATTCCCTCCGATCGACCAATCACAACGAACCTTCTATATTTCGGAAAGTGACAGTTCATTTTGGAGCGGAATAAATATAAGTAAACATTTTGAAAGCAGTTGGTCAAAATTGCACATAAATTGAATTTAAAGATATTGATACTTGTCCAGGTAATAAAATGCACAATTAATGATCAGATTCGGATATTGAAGATGTTCGGTTATATTGAAATTTGAAATTGAAAACGCGGACATGCAGGATGGCATTACACTGTATGAATCTAGGCCAACAGCATCAAATGCCGAATATGTTTCGCCGAAATTTGAACTTTTGACAGATTTTTATCTTTAAGACAACAGAACTCTGACAGAATTTAAGACAGAATATTTTATAGAATACTTTTGCTCCGAAAGAGAAATATGATTAGCTTCAAAGTAAACTAATTTGCGTTTGAACATGCCAACCACTTCTGACTGTAAACTGTAAACACAACACAAACCCGAGAAACTTGTAATTGCGCCGAGATGAATTTTCCAATTCGCCCTAACTTCGAAACGTTTATACTCTAACTTGGCTATACTGTTTTATACATGACAACGAGAGCTTAATCTTTTAGAAGTTTTAGTCGAAGCCATGGCATATAGGAAGTATCAATCAAGAGCAACATTCGGACATATCCTGATATACCCATGCAAGCAGGGTGTTAGCCAGGCGGTCGTCCGACCGTCCTACGGACGGCCACAACTGAATTTGGACGGCTAAATTTTAATGGACGGCCATGGACGGCCTAAGCGAATATTTTGTTTAAATAGCAATTTACAAGCTTTGTAGTATTTCTTGAATACTTCGAATTGTTGTCATCTGCTGTTTACTTTACTTATGGTATATGTTTTCATACTTTTTCCCCCCTCGAAAACACGTTGAATATGGCTGAATTGAAGTATCGACAAACGCGCCATGTTTTTGTAACCATGTTGATGACTCTCGCATGAAGTATCAAGGAGAATAATTTGAAACCGCTGTTTTAAAAAACAGCAGTCGCTTTATCGCTCGAGCACCACGTGCTTTAGAGTTACAGTAACGGTAAAGATGGCTATAAAATGAGCCAAACGCATAAAAAAGAGAAAAAAATATCGGCGATTGATAAAAAATAACTAAACACTACACTGCTGTATTGTGTTCTTCATCGTAGCGTGTACTGTACATCGTAGTGATCATACAGTTCATACCATACATGTGCTTTTACTAATTTAATGACAGAAAAGTGCATCTAAAACTAAAAGTAAAAACGTTTAACGAATAGAACACCACAATTCCACAACAACAAAAGATTGCGGCCACGCCCAAAAACATGTGATCACGCCCACAAAAAATTGTGGCCACGCCCACAAAATTATTTTGGACGGCCACTTTTGAAATCCTGGCTAACACCCTGCATGCAAGTTTCCCAATTGCTTGTTTGTCATTGTTAACAAATATCTAAATTTCGCCTACTGCATTGGTTTTGCATTTTATATACACCAATTGTTTGTAGGACATGCGAGAGGATGATCACAATATTATTATACGTAAACATCGTGAAGCTCAACGCTATAGTTTCCAAAATATATCCACGTAAGTAAACTGACAAATTTCAACCCAAACAACATATATATTCCCACGTGCAAGGGCTTTCCCCAGTAGCTATAATCCCACAATAAGGCTTCCAATTGCCTCTAACTCTTTTGAAAACTGCCAGATGATTGGCTTCTAAAACAAAGGGAATGGAATGAGCAGCTCGGGTCAGCAGACGTTAGTCTTTCGTCGCTTGGCGTAAGAAATACAACGTCTGCGAGCAGGCTACCTGAAAAAGCACTTCTTTCACACAAAATGCTGAAGGCCTCGGCGGAACTTCGAAAAAACGAATGAATAAATTTCATATGAAATGTGTCTGGAAGAATATAGGCTTACTTATTTTTTAATATACGTCCTCATTTTAAAACGATAATCAATTTACACATCTTAAACATAATGGGGTAGCATATCAAAGTTGGGTAAAGCATATCAAAGTACATACCTGTAGTAAACACTCGCCTCTGTCTGTATCTAACGTGGCAATTTCAATTGAATCATGGCAATGTTCTGTAGCACTGAACAGACATGCTGATGCCCTACAAAACAAAAGGGGGAAGTCCAACATGAATAAACAAGCTATTAAATAAATTCACTCATTGCTATACGATTGTAGTGTTGATCAGGGCCGCCGAGAGGGGGGGGGGGGGGGGGGGGGGCAGGGAATTGCTCCGGGCCCCGAGGTGCTGGGGGCAGGTGTTTCAAGACAACACTGCTCACTTTTGTTTTCAAAAATATTATGTACAGTTACTCACAATACGTATTTACTTTAATATTTACTTTAATATTTACTTTTACAAATATATTGCTACTGGAAGTTCTGTTTAGCTATCTATAAAAAAAATTAATTGCTTTAACTGTAAGGTTTTTATAAAGGTTCGTGCATGTGAGCACAGTCTTTCAAAACATGGTTTGGAAACTCGGCTAAAGTCTTTGTTCTATCTTTTTGTTCGCGTGTTGCAGTTTTGTGCACGGTGCACGGTCAATGAACACATTGTATTTCAGTATAATGAACGAATCATCCAATAGCAACGTTTCAGTTCAGTCATTCAACCATGCTATTTAAATATTAATAAACCTAAAACAAAGGATGTGCACGGTGTAAGGTACAGTTCAACATAAAATCCCAGCTCATTATAACAGCTTTGAAGTTTACTGAGTTTCCATGCAGACCATGTCTCGAAAGACTATGATGTGAGGAAGAGTCAAATTCAAGGACTTTTCAAGGACATTTTAGGCCATGTTGATGTAAGGAGTAAATTAAATACTGAAGAAAAGGGATTAGAAATCAGTTGGTCCAAAAGAGTTTTTTAGCGACAAACCGAGGAGTGTAGACAATTTTCAAACTGAAACCACTACTCAAAAATTGAAATATCCACACTATCGATACTAAAGATAGTAATATTTCTTTTCTCACGGTCGATTTCCCTGCCATTTTGGGGGTAATCGTAATTTTTGTTTTGATTTGACGAAATTCTTAAAACTTTGGTAGGCAAATTTGTTGTATTTACTTTTACTGCTATATCTTCATTTGCAATGATTTTAAACGAAATATGTATTTTGATTTACGACTCAATGAAAGAATATTCCCCTGGTTCCAGAGGCTCTTAAAGAACGGCGAGGTAAAATAACAACGAAGCGAAATAAATACGGGATATAGATTCATGTTTCGGCAAGTTTCCTGTGCCCCTGTGCATATCACTTTACACACAGAAACATTGTTTATTAATAGCAATACAAATATCTTCCATAATAAAGGAAAGAGTTAAGTACTAGTTAAAACATGAGCAGCCGATCTTTATCTGATATACAAACTAGAGCCGAAGGCGAGAGAGAGTTTGTATATCAGATAAAGATCGGATTCGATACGTGCTTAAGTAATTTTAAAAATAAACATTGTCCAAGCAGAGAAAATCAAAGCTGAAGTTTATGTAAATCAGGACAAATCTTTATGCGATTTATAAACATTGATTAAACATTCATTTCTTTTGTATTTTCCTCGTGAATTATTGATGAGTTGTTTAAGTACTAGTTAAAATATCCGCAGCTGATCTTCATGGGCATTTACAATGGCGAGCGCGCAGCGCGAACCATTGTTAAATGCCCATAAGGGCGGTTTTCCAGTCCTCGCACGAAACTCCTCGCAGCTCGCTGCGAGTGCATGGATGAGCACTTTCCAGCATCCAATCACAATGCTAAACAGTTAATTTTAATTATATGCAAGCACTCACAGCGAGGAGCTTCGTGCAAGGACTGGAAAACCGCCTTTATGATCGGTTGCGGATGTTTTAATGTACTTGTAAGACGAATTTATTTGTTTACTTTATTAGTATTCACTGCCGATGGGGACAATCTCACGCTTCATTAGCATGCTATTAAAACTTAAATTAGTATTGTTAACTTTCATAAACATCCATGCTTCTCAATTAGTATTGTTAACTTTCATAAACATCCCTCTAACACGACTTTCTGATCTTTAATGCGGTTTACAAGTGTGCACATGTGACCTAAATACCGCG